AATCCATTCTAACCATTTAATTTCACTTTCCGTGCTCGGTCTCGTCTATAAACTCTACATAAACAGAGAATCAACTCTTCTCTCTAATCAACTACCAACCAAATTCGCAGCGACCCTTCTTCACACTTTCTACAAAAGTCGTCCCAACATTTACCACCGGAGTCGTCAAAACATCGGCCCTAAGAAAAGATATAATACAGGGCAAATCGAACGAGCCGAAATTCATGAAATAAAATCTATCGTCACCAGGATGTTACTTGAATCAAATAAATTCACATGCATCGTCGATAGTTCAGTCGAATCGCATATCTACCCACGGTCAGCCACGTCGATCCGAGAAAAATCGCCACCTCGACTCTCGATCGACCTCTCAGAAAAGAGAACAAATTCCTACGACGAATCCTTCCAACTACTTTATTCGATGTCTCCTTTGGACCTAAGACTCGTACAAAAATCTTAGACAAATACAGCGGTATTCGTCGTATATCTTAACGCTCGCGCGACTCGCCCTAGTTTACATCGACATTTAAATACATTCCGACAGATCGAAGGTGAACACTCCTTCGAGGTGTCTCGTGAAGGGAGTGTAAAGTTAAGCGTATACCATAGGAACGAGTGCCGCATTACGAGAGCCAAAAGAGCACAACCGATACGTTTCCATCCAACAATTTGGCTCTTTCGTCCCCGAAACAGTTCTACTCTTCATCAACACCGAGTCTTCTCTTGAAGCCGGTCAATTCCGGGATCCTGCCCTCCTTTCTCGTACTCGCGCAACTCCCGGGTCAACCTCGAAACGGATTTGCCTCTTCGGGAATCTCCTGTTCACTCGACTGGATGACCACTCGAGCACACTTCTACTGTTCGTGTCCTCGAAAGCAAGGAACGCGTATCCTCGGACTGCCGGCGAGGTTTCTCGCTGGTGCCCCAGCCTGGATCGACTCGATTCCTCGAAAGAGATCTGCACGGCTGTCCAGAAGTGATCACGGCGAAAACGACCAGGCTGTTCCGGTCTCCCAACGATGACTCCACGACTGCTCGACCCGGCGTCCGATCCCGACCCTGCGTCGTCGTCCTCTTCCTTTGACAAGTCTCGAATCACTCGACAGTGTCGATTTCACCTGCAAAGAGCACACACCGTGTTACTTCTCCCACTGACCGAGTTTACGTGGGTGGCGCTTTACAGCGCCTGTGTTGGCCGGCAGTATCTGATGGACACCTTAAGAGGATATGTGCCCATAATTATGAAAGTGGTCTAAGTCAAAATTGAAAAAAAAAAAAAATTAGTTTATCAGTTATTTCACGCCACATTATTTCAAACTAAATTAATTCAATGTAATTTCGATACAAAAAATATATGACTTAGACCACTTTCATAATTATGGGCACATATGAAAGGCGCTAAGAAATTTAATCGACGTCGATAAAGTAAAATTTATCTATACTCTTTTTGGTGGTAATGTCGTTTTGAATACTCAAGTTGTAACATAAGCTGACGCGGCCCATTCCCGACGTTTATATTTATGTCGAAGTCTTTTACAGTCTACGTTGAGAATTATACTCACTGAAGGGTTCTGTATGTCATTTCGGGAAAGTAATGATAATAAGATCGATGTAAAACTGCCGAAATACCATGAATTCATGACTGTTTATATCTTGACCAACCAACGTCGCCATCTGTGACGTTTAGTTACAACTAAATTGTTACTCTAAAAGCATGTGTTAGCCGCAGGACAAGCCAGCATTCTCTTGCAATCGTTGGTGAAAGTATTTACCATATTTTCCCACCTGACTCTGTAATATTCCATTTATACGGTATTCTAAATTGTTCGAGCTAGGTCCTGAAACTCTTCATTTTTCGATTCTAAGCCTCCAAGAAGAGTAAAACATCGAAAACGTGCCCGGACCACGCCATGTTGGTTCTAGTCCATGATAAGTAAATAAATGTTTGATGGATAATGAAACTGCATGAGTTTCAGGACCTAGTTTAGGGCCTTCTTGAATACGGAGATTATAAGAAAAGTCCTGACATAAAAATTGAATTTTTTTTTAATTTGTTTGCATACATCTTCAAAATGTTTGACAAAAAATGAAATTTTATGGGTGTAGGGACCTTCCTTATAGCCTCCATATTCACGTTGTACAGTTTGATACAATTCGGTACACCCAGTAAGGTTTCATGAATGATTGACCCCTCAGATGCTACTTTCACATCCCCTTAAAATAAATTGTACCATAATATGAAATAAATACAGTCTACACTACTACTAAAGTAAGAAATCGAAACTGTATGTTTCATTTCTTTAACTCCACTCGAAGAAATAATTTCCTTGAAGGAAAAAAAAATGTATTTTATTCAGACACTCTTTTTCTCGGCTCAATAAAATAAAATATATTTTCCTACCTAAGAAACCATTTCTTTCAATAGATCTAATAAAACATTTCGTCAAATTATTCGTTGCAATTAAACGCGTTATAGTTTTGGAGAAATTCGCAGAATATTAACTATTGTTATCTAATATTATTTTTTGAATAGAAAACAAATATTTCTTTGAGATAATTACATTTTCCTTTTACCTACACTATTACTTGATCCGAATGAGCATTATTTAAAGAGAACACTTTCTTTGTATCAGACATTTTCTTCTCAGTGTACATGTCCAACTGCAAGATCTCCGAGGATTTCGAAAGGATGAAAGTTTCAAAATTTCTTTAACTTTCCCAGATTTCATAATTTATTCAAAGGGTTCTAAGCTATCCGTGGCCAGTAACACGGAAAGTAGAACTGTACAGGTCACGGAATGGGCGTCATACTGTATAGATACGGAAACATGTAACACTTTCTGTGCGTCATACTGCTAATTGTTAACTTTGCACATTATTTACATGATTAGTTGTTTAGCCATCACACAAGAAACCTACTTTTACTGGACTAGTTTAGAAACGCGATACTATATAAATCACGTGTACTTAAGGTGATATGAAGGGGTTTTATGTATATGAAAGGATAAAATATTTACAAAACTGTTCTCCAAAGTGGATGCACCGAATTATTCGAAACTTTAATGCGTGATTATGGAGGCCCTAAAGAAGAACGTGATGCTCTTGAAATTTCATTAAAAAATATGTATGTATTGTTGGTTCTAATCTGGGATAAATAAAAAAAAATTGTTTATCGGGATTGAAATTTCATGAGTACCACGTTCTTCCTTGGGACATTCATAATCCCGTGGTAAAGTTTCAAATGATTCGGTGCACCCAGTTTGAAGAAAAGTTATATCAATATTTTGACATTTTATATATAATTTATATATAACGTCAACATAAATATGTACATATATAACGCCTTAAGGGATCGTTATTTTCTGATTATAGATAGCAAAATGGATTAAAGGTGAACTTTCCCGAAATACGTAGTGAAGTAAAACGACGATATGGAATATAGCGTTGCGTGCAATCGACAAATGGCGTTTATTTCCGCAATATCGCTATTTTTAACCGTCCCATGGGTCCTCCCACGCCGAGTGACGACACCGCCTCGGCCGACATATTCCATAAGTGACCCAGTTAATATGTTGATTTTGAGGTAAACCAATATCCCTTGCGACTTCATGTAACAACCTTTAACCGTAGTCACCTAGGGAGAGTTGCGTCGCAACGACGGGACGCTTAATCAACAGTTATTGAATTCGCATCGATCTACCCAACTCACGTAGAAGTGAGGAAATTGAGTTCCGTGGAAAGATGGAAAAAAAGAAAAATAAAATCGAAGGTTGCCACGATTTATCCTGTAAAGAACACGCGGTGTGAAGGACCTATCGCGCGTATCGTGTTTCTCCCTTGAGACCGCGCCATTTTTATCAGAAAGACTTTCCGCTAGATTGATTAACGGAGTGATATCGGAAGCCTTCGATTATTCCTAGCGATGATAAATGAATTATCCCGTATATTGTGAAAAAAGAAAATATATATGTATGTACAGGATGGGTCCTGTGAAAGTTCCAAAATCGATGGAACTTAGTGAAACCCGTAGGGACATAATCGTTATCGATAAAAATAAATCCTTCTACGTAATACTATGTGTAAGACCGGACTCTCCAACCAAGCAGAACGAGAACTACGAATAGTTAAATTTATATTGACAGCTGAGTCATATTACATTGAGTATCGTACAGAATGCCATACTCCATATATTGGTCCAGGTCAATATTTATAAAGAAATAATAAAACAAATAAAACTTAAGAACACCCCCGGATTAATGATTTTTGATATGTTGGTCATGCCATCCCTTGCATTCCGTGTCAATTAAATTTTGTATCCGAAAACTCGTGCACTGTTCACGTTACCTTCATTTTAGTAAAAAATCTCCGAAGTACCTCTTTTTTCCTTTAATCGCGTTCAAATGCACGTTTCTCGATTACTTGAGTGCTTTAATTTATTGTACGATGATTTTGACACGGTCGTTACTCAGAGTCTTTAAAAATTGTAAAATGATCGAAATATGGAGGCACAACGTCATTTTGGTTCTAGTTTAGACTAAACGCTAGAATATTTTTCTGGAAATCCAAATTTTAAAAGCATCAGAACATTCTTGAAATGCTCCTATGCTAAAATTGCCTATAGTGTGTCTTATTTTAATTGACTAAATTGAGGCGAGTTTCACTTCACCTTAATTGAAGATAAGACATAAGAAGGGATATGGGTGAGAGTGAGAAGCATGTGTATAAAGCTGGAATTGCCACTTTAGCACAATTCAATAAAATTTGTTGCAAAATTTATTGCTAATTTATTGCTACTTTATTGCACAAGAATGAACATTGACTTAATAATTATTTTTCATTGTGGCAGTGCTAGCTTTATATAAAGCTGACATCGGCACTATTTTTCGGAAAAGTATAAGAGCAAAAAATTATCTTCTTGTGCAATAAAATAGCAATGAATTAGCAATAAATTTTGCAACAAATTTTATTGAATTGTGCTAAAGTGGAAATTCCAGCTTTATATACATGTGAGAAGCAATGCTATGCTTACAAATTTAACAGTCTATCATTACACATGGTTTTACCAGTGGAGAAAAGTAGTACTACCGATTGCCACTTGCAGTTCATCAAAGAATGGGCCTATTTCCTCATGAACTAAATCTCACCGATTGGGACCTTTCATATGACTCACCCTGTACATATAAATATCGACTCGAGGAACAAAGCCATTGAAAACAATGGCAGTATGCATTCCTGGACATTTGACTGTACCTGTAGAGTAATGATAACGTGGATATGAACACCCCGGATATCCGAGTCTGTTCCCGGAAAGGAATAATCTGTCGAAGATGTTGAGGTTGGCGCTGCGAATTATCTCGTAAAAAGACACGTGATATAAAAGATCTATTGAAAGTATCGTCTGTCCCTCTTGAGATTATGCGACTTTTACAATTAACATTCCTCCAGTGACGATTACGATGAAGACTAACAGTACGATACTGGGGCTACTCGGTTACTATGCAACGACAAGTGATTCCACCTGACTTATCCCAAGAAAATTATAACTAAACGTTCGAGGAACCGTTCTGACAATATTGCAAGCTTGCACTTCCAAAAAGTGATTTCAACTGAAAGTCAAACGAATTTGCTTAAATGCTACGTGTCGAAAATTTGACCGTACTTTACGTAACGCGATGATAACACGAACACGAATTCCCTGAATGTACAACCCGCATTAGCTATTTTAGGAACCGAATTACCCTACAATACTTTAATTATCACCGACATTTATCGAGTAAAATAGGCGTTCGGCCTTAACACTTTCTGCTCCAACGATTGACGGAGTGAAACTCGGAATACACAATTATTCCTTCAAAACGAAATGACTCACCCTCTTCCAGGCAAAAAAATTAGAATATATTGCGCAAAGACTAATATCAGAGTTACGAGAGAAGGTGTTTTAAATTAAAGAGTTACGCCACGGTGGAAGTCTGAAAAAGTCGGATTTTCTTTTATAAGTTTAATTCACGGCTTGTGGTTCTAAAAACAAAATCCCACTAGTTTGAATCGAAAATTCTCATAGTTTAATAAATTTAGGTTAAAGATAAATTGCAATTTTTATGTATTCAATAAACCAAATGAATAAAAATCTTTAAACACGTTTCCCTCAAATGGTTTACAATATTTACCCGATTCACTTCAAACTTTCACAAGATCTTACTTTTTATATTATCAAGGCTAGTACGCAGGAGTTTTACGAATTGTTAATTAAAGCTTTGTTTGTTACAGACATGGTTATACAACATTTTTGTCAATAATTGAAATTTCTCTTTTGATCACATCTCATTTCCATGACAACCAACATTTTTAAAACATTTCATGTACGTCATATGGAAATGAGGAATCCTTCGTTATCTGTCCCGCCTCAAAAAATGGGCCTGTAATCGACGCCCCTCGCAACAAGGGTTATTTATTTTTCCCTTTTCTTTTTAAACTGCAAAAGTCACATTTTCAGAAACTCGCCGTGTCGCACCCACTTAATCCATTGAGGCACGGAAGTTTAGAAAATAAATAGGCCCATGTTGCACAGAAATTTTATTTCTTTTTAAACCACCGTGCATATTCACGTAGTAAAAACGTGGGACACTTTTAATACCACCGTGCCTCAAAGAGTTAAAGGAAAAAAATGAATCGCCAGGGCATCAAATAAGCGAAGAATGAGTAAACAATGCCGGAAAGCCTACAGTACCTTGCATAAGGAGGAGGTTATTTATTTTTCCCTTTTCTTTTTAAACTGCAAAAATCACATTTTCAGAAACTCGTCGCGTTGCACCCCCTTAAAGAAAAAAAATGGATCGCCAGGGCATCGAATAAGCTATGAATGAATGAACCATGCCGGAGAGCCTACAGTACCTTACATGAGGAGGAAGTTATTTATTTTTCCCTCTTCTTTTTAACGCGTTGACTGCCGCGTCACCCATATTCGGGTGACATAGCTGTCAAATAAAATGCGCGTGGCAATCAAAGTGTTAAACTGCAAAAATCACATTTTTCAGAAACTCGTCGCGTCGCACCCCCTTAAAGGAAAAAAATGGATCGCCAGGGCATCGAATAAGCAAAGAATGAGTAAACAATGCCGGAAAGCCTACAGTACCTTACGTAAGGAGGAGGTTATTTATTTTTCCCTTTTCTTTTTAACACGTTGACAGCCGCGTCACCGATATTCAGGTGACATAGCTGTCAAATAAAATGCGCGTGGCAATCAAAGTGTTAAACTGCAAAAATCACATTTTTCAGAAACTCGTCGCGTTGCACCCCCTTAAAAAAAAAATGTATCGCCAGGGCATCGAATAAGCGATGAATGAGTGAACAATGCTGGAGAGTATACAGTACCTTGCATAAGGAGGAGGTAACGTGGACGCGGATTCCCCGGATATCCGACTCGCCTGCGCCGTTCCAGGAACCGGATGATCCACCGGAGATATCGACGCTATATTGTCGTAAGCCGCCCTCGTAAATTGGGCGGGATTCAGTTTAATGGCGTCGTCATAGCTCGGCGGTGCATCTGCCACAGCCTCGTAGTCGGGCGGTTTTTGCCTGGCGCCGCAGGATGACGTTTCAGCTATCGAGATTACGTGAATTGGATCGTCGATCTGCAAAAACGAGATCGGGTCGTGATTCAGCATTGGTCCCGGAAGGAAAAGAAAAAAGGAAACGTTTTTCCTGCGCCGGTACTATTCTCGCTCGCACCCTATTAATGCACGATTACGAAAGTACACGAGAAATGACGGTACAAAATGAAGTAGGTATCACGAATACGGCGTGTCCATTTTAAGATTCCTTCCTTTATACTCGAATAACTTCATTTCTTAAACAATTTTGATAAAATATTGGACATAGCCCTGTGACGTCACAAGCTATGCTATTGAAAATATGACTCGATTTAGACATCATGATGCCACATTTTTCAGCTACGCGTCATGCCCTCTCCAGGAAAAATTGTCAGTCTCAAAATGATCCCAGAATAATGTCATTTCTTCGGGATAAAGTCTCATAACGTCAATATCCCATATTTTCATCCAATTGTTTAAAAGGTAACGAAGTTATTCGAGTTTAAAAAAGAAATCTTAAGAAGGACAGCCTATATTCCCAAGCACCTTATCCTTGAATATCGAAACCAAATGACATTGGACATCCAAATAATTTCTGGTATTAGCCTTAAATATAGTTCGCCTACGGAATAAGATCGTTCCAAAACTTCTGTTGTCTTCTGGCAACCATTTTCGCTGAAGAATTCGAGTTTGTCGGAATGAATTTTTTCATAAACGACAAGTGGATTTCTGGATCAAAAGGGGTATAGACGGTGATTGTATCGTTAACTATCGGTGCTTAAAAAGGACAGCTTATATTCCCAAGCACCTTATCCTTGAATATCGAAACCAAATGACATTGGACATCCAAATAATTTCTGGTATTAACCTTAAATATAGTTCGCCTACGGAATAAGATCGTTCCAAAACTTCTGTTGTCTTCTGGCAACCATTTTCGCTGAAGAATTCGAGTTTATCGGAATGAATTTTTTCATAAACGACAAGTGGATTTCTAGATCAAAAGGGGTACAGACGGCGATTGTATCGTTAACTTTCGGTGCTCTACTTGTGACGCTACTTCAAAGTTTATTTATAAGGACGCCGAAACTTTTGAAATGACCTAATAATTTATATTAAATGTCTTATGAACAGCGGGTCCCACCAGCGACGTCTGAGCTAATAAACGTCCCTTACTTTGAGAAGTAATTTTTTTTACTTTTTTAATTAGAGAGAAAAGGATCCGTTAATTATGAAAAAAGTTATAGTGAAAGCATCTGATTTCGCCATCTCCTCGAGGTTCGATCGTCCGGAAAGACCCTCGAGGAAAATTACTTTCCAGCCCGTGGAATCGAACGAGTAAACTTGGCCGGTATCGCGGGCTCCAAACTTTTGTGTACCCGCAAAGTTGCGCGAATTGATGATAAAATTTGGACTTTCCGAATGGTTATTTCCAGCTCCTTCGACGAAACGAGCTGGCATGGTGAGTCTCGCGATGTCTCGTGGTTAAGTGGCGAATTATCGCCCTGCGAATTATTATCGTCGGTATCTTGCGCCGCGCCGACGTAATGCGATCGGTCGGTATCTCATTTCGCACCGACTTCTCACCTTAGTTGTAAAAAAAGGTATTTTGCAATAACGTATTGCGCCCCTTGTATCTACACGAAATTATGACGGCCAAACTTGCGCAAGAGCATTTATTACGATAATACGTAACATATTTAAGAATGGGTAAGTAATGTACGCCGTTAAAAATATTCCGATATCTCGAATATCTTCGAATATGAATGTATATTAAATCCACAAATAGTGGTGCCTAAAATGAAAACTAGACAAATGTGTACTTCATTTCGAACGCCATTCCTGCGTGAGAATTCATACAAGAGCATTTAAAATATTTAACCAGACAAGAAGATGAGAAAAGACATCAGTACCAATGTTAATAAATGTACGACACGTGCTCTTCTCAGAATACATTTAACTGTACATGTGTATGTGTTCGATAATCAATATACAAGAGTATTCGAGTTTCCGTCTTATAATGAGCCACCATCCCAGGCTGCGAGATCTACGAAATATAGGAAAATTGTCAACAGTAAACACATGTCATTCAAATACCTCCTACATTAGATTAAAAAAAAAAAGCATTCGATTCTATTAAATTATCCGCTGCATCTATTAATAGCAATACTTCCACGAGACAATAAGCATGGAAAGCAAAGTATTGAATTGATGCATAAGTCATTGCGCATTTTTTCAAATATAAAAATGCGCGTAGAAATTAAATATTTTAACATAATGTTATATGTTATTTCAAGGAGAAATTTTTGCTCTACAAGACAGTGTTTTAATATTTTTGTTAGATTTGGAAGTATTTGAGCCGCGATTAAACTCGATCAAAAGAAAGTGTCGAAAGTGCTCATTTTTGTCCACTTGACCCTCCATTTTAATTGCCGGAAAATTCACAAAAATTAAATCTAACAAAAATATTAAAACACTGTCTTGTGGAGCAAAAATTTCTCTTTAAAATAACACATAACGTTATGTTAAGACATTTAATTTCTGCGCGTATTTTTATATTTGAAAAAATGCGCAATGACTTATGCATCAACCCAATAGTAGTTCCCATTCAATAAGCATGGAAAGCAAAAGTAGTCGGTCCCTCGCTCGGACGTAAATGGCGAACATAGGTTCATTTGTCGGCCATTTAAAAATAACTTGCACGCTAAAGAGAGAGAGAGTTGCTGCAGATATCTATGGACTATCCGTAATAAATATAGAATGATACGCGCTTCCGGGTTAACATCCTTATAGCTCGCCCTACACAGTCGCGGATAAGGTCAGTCGACATGTCCGACGACAGCCCTGCGCATGCGCGAGCCTACATTCAGGGGAGTGCAGCAGTGTTTCTCAACTAAGCCCGTCCATATTACACGGAACTGCCATTTTCCAGGCGAAATGATTAACACTATTTCTACCAAAGGTGTCAAGACACCTTTTAAAATGTTAAGAATTCCTTTTTTCGCAGGAAATAATTTTTGTCCATAGTTTCAAATATTTCGACTACTTCATCGCTCACATTTAACAAACTCCATCCAAAGAAATCAACTTCGAATGAAAAACTGCGCTTCGTTCCTCATTATATGATAAGCCATTTTTTTATCTTAACATGAATGTATAATTATCATTCAACCGAGGCATCACTGTATCGTGCAAAGTGACTACGTGCACCTTTTCCTCAGAAGGGAAGTACGTGGTTTTCCTTCGGCTTATGGCAAAAAAATGTAACACATCGCGATAAAGCGTACGTGCGAACTCGTTTTTCCTTGTCGGGCCGCGATAAGGCGAACTTTGCGAACCCGCGGCATTCTAATGCAGGTGACACACCTACACTGCCCCCTTTGGTGTAAGTCGATTACGAGGTATTTACGTGGCTTGTAATAGGGGGTTGACCCGGATCGATTTAAAAACGTTCCTACTTTAAGTTTGCCACCCTTTTGGTGTCTAGTCCTGATTCCTCGCCTTCGCAATTTACTTCATACTTCCTAACTCCGAATATGCAGGGACTATAATATTTTCAAAAACGAAATTTCCCAATCAATCCGTTCGTTGTCAGCGAAAAATGTTGTGGGGTCTATACCATCTTCTAGGTACCATTCTGTATGATCTTTAAGTACGTCATCATTAACCATGTTAACTGAGAAAGACCGGACGAAAAGCGTGCTTCCAGTACCGATATTTTTATTTTAACGTAAAGTACCGGCGTGAGTTTAACAACTAAAATCGCCCTTCATAACTAAAGACTTATTTGTGATAGGCGACTATAGCTGCTGTTATTAATAAAAGTATTAAAAGGGTTCGAAACTGAGTTTCCCACCACGCGAGGTTATCAATGCCCTATTCTTATTATTAAATATTAATACGCGAGAAGCGTGCTTCCAGTACCGACATTTTTATTTTAACGTCAAATACCGACGTAAGTTTAGCAACTAAAGTCGCCCTTCGTAACTAAAAATTTATTTGTGACAGGCGATTATAGCTGCTCTTATTAATAAAAGTATTAAAAGGGTTCGAAACTGAGTTTCCCACCACGCGAGGTTATCAATGCCCTATTCTTATTATTAAAGATTAATACGCAAAATTAATATAAAACACTGATATTTACAAAAGTGTGTAACTCAAGGAAACTCTTCTAATTAAAGAAACGTTAAATATAAATTTCAGACTTTATAATGTTGCGAAAAGGAGTTCTCTGCTGCATAGAAAGTGACTTTCACACCTTTGAAAAACATCTCCTTGCCATCACTGCAGTTTCATCAGACACCTGTTCAGAATCTAGCAACGACAGCAAAAATAAATCGTCTTGAATCCTTTCTCACTGACCTTGCGTTGCTAGACGGAAGACTCGCTTCTCTTTCAGGTGCAACCTACATATATGAAACGTTAAAATATTTATAAAACTGTTCTCCAAAATGGGAGCAGCGAATTATCTAAAACATTACCACGTAATTATGGAGGCTCTAAGGAAGAACGCGAAGCTCGTGAAGTTTCATTATTCGAAATAAAAAATGTCTCCTTGATTCTTGTCCGAGCTAAATACGAATTTTTCGTCAAAAAGTGAAATTTCACGAGCACCACGTTCTTCCTTAGGGCCTCCATAATCACGTGCTAAAGTTTCAAATGATTCGGTGCACTCAGTTTGGAAAACATTTTTATAAATATTTCAACGTTTTATATACATACTGAAATAAACGGGAACACATTGGATGCAACGTTTCTTCAGAATTGCGACAATTTATTTCTGTTTGAGTAAAATTTCTATTTCTTCCATTAACAGAATGTTTCTCTGGTTCAATGAATACTTTTTCTCAGTGCGTGATTCGTTGTCCCCTATAGGAATGTAAGTATGATCCAGATCAGAAAAAGTACTTTGTGTTTAGGTTGTGGAGATGGTGTGTACCCATTGTTGTTGGGTTTCGTCCCGATTCTGCCTGCGTGGAGTCGTCGGTAAGGCTATCAGGCAGGCCCTGTCTTAGACACCGAAAAATCTCTCCTGAGCAGGATTCGAACCCGAGAGACTACTTGATACGAGCGGTGAGCGTAACGGCTGGGCTATCAAAGGCCCGTGTAGAAGGAAGAACTTCTGATACATATATAATGATCCTTTCGTATCACCTTAATACGAGAAATACCGTCCGGTCCGAATGGTGACTTACTTGGGCAGTGATGGGATGGCTCCTCTGTTCGGTCTGCGTGCTCGGCCTGGTTGGCGGCGTGTGCAACCAGCAACACATCGCTGCACAGATCAGGATAGCTCCTGCGACTATGCAGGCCACTCCGATGTACCGTACAGGCTCCACGTAGTTCTCGGCAAGTCCCAGCCAGTTGATAAGGGCCCCGACGCAGAGGAGCACCATACCGTACCGGTACGGCCGCTGGGACCGACGGGACTCCTCCAGAGTCATGGCTGAAAGGGAAAGAAAAAGGCCCACGAGAGTTAATTAACGGTCTTAACGGTCTGTGACCATGAGCCAAAAATCGAACGCGGAGACACGAGAAGTGCTCCTCGTCTAGCAACGCGAGGCCGAGCAAACACCTTGACGGTATTCCGAGATGATGATCTCAAGAACAGGACCTTCCCTCCGTTATCGCTCCATCTTATTAATTACTCTTAATTTTATTCCTTCGCGAAATGCCCCCACACGTTCGATGCCGCTTGTTTTAGGCATAACGATGATAACACGCAGAGATGAACATAAATAGTAATTAGCTGTAGAGAAAAAAGTTGGAATGACGGGCAGCAACTTTAATGTCAACTTCGCCTAAGCGGAAGACGAGGCACGGTCGCTAATTGACTTCTTACATGTCTAATTAGACGAGAAACTCATTAACGATAAGGAAGACGTTTGCGCAAATTGTGTCAATGCCAATACACAAAGGAAACAATTGTAAATAGTAATATACCGTAAGAGAGAAGAGAAGATATTTCCCATTTTTCGATGCGGCATCCTGTCATAACATGAGGACTTACGTGTACTACCGCGATATGAGAAATTTTCCTTCTGTAAAACTGATTTTTCACTAGGACTTTTCGAGCATTTCCGTTAAATGTTTTTCCACGGTTAGGTGAGTAACGGTATTACGTATTCCGTAATGGAATCCTATTAGCACTCGGTCGTTTGTGAGGTGGATTTTTGTTGAATGAGCGTCGGCACGTCCAACGTCTCTCCATGGGATCACCCGAGGCTCTTTCCGACGAGGCGGAAAAGTGTAATTTCAAAAAACGAATTGCTTATCCAAGAATTTCATTAGGGCGAGCAGCTTAAATGGATGAAAACCTAGCTTTAAGAAAAAAGAAAAAAAAATCAATCATTCCGGTGTCGAGTACTGCAGACGTTTTCAGGGAAAATAACAACGCTCCGAGATAAAATTGTTAGACATTTTTGAAGCACCGTTTGCGGCAAGGTAAGCAACGATGTTAGCTGATCTAGAAAGGAATCCAATTAAGCTCTGGTCACTTATGAGGTGGACGTTTTACTTCAACGAACGACGACGTGTCAAGGAAGCCGGAAAGTGTAGGTTCGGTGCATTGGCCGTGTGTGAGAAACTCTTAACAGTACGCGCATTTTATCTAAGATGGAGTTCAGCTCGCAAGAACAATAGAAACTGTAAAGAAGATGACTATCTAACTAATTCTACCCCCATCTATGCATTTAAAACACCAGAGAGAGGATACGAAGAGATTGTGTATGATAGGGGAGAATTACGTGGAGTACGGTAAAATATAAAGGTGACATGTACGACATTTGATGTAATCAACCAAAAGTTATTAACCAAACAATTTTATCAATCGAATATTTTACCGGCCATGTAATAACCATATTCGATGATTGAACCAACAAAAACGGAAAATCTCGAAGATCAAAATTTCAGACCCAAAGACCGATTCGATTTCGACTTATGAAGTGACCAAACATCCGAAAAAAATAACTGGTAAGATTTATACTTAGAGCCAGGATCTTCCTACCTTTTAAAAGTACTTTTTTTAAAATACCTTTCTTGATATTTTATCACACTTTTTTATGATAAGGTGAATAACGGCGTGACTCTGCAGAGGATTTGCATCGAAAACGTGATCAATTACGAAGTTGACATTTTTGTCAAATGACACGTCCAGTGATTCTCCACACGATCGGGTCTTTGTTCAAAGAAAGAGAAATGCTCGGCACGTTGTGTTATTTCATTATAATGAACTATTGTAAACTTTTCGAAAGTAGTAGTACATTCATGTCAAATTTAAATTTTTTAAGCACGAGATATATAGATATCGTCCAAACCAAGAGTACGGTACTTCGACGTGATGCACTAGATTTTTAAATAATGTTTAGCATACGGGGATTATCAGAACTGTGTGATATCGAGAGAAATCCGATTATTGCAAACTTTTCGTAAATAGTAGTACATTCATATCAAATTTTAATTTTTGAAACACAAGATATATCGCCGTCGTTCATATCAAGAGTACTGTACTTAGACGTGATGCAGTACATTTTTAAATAATGTTTAGCACACGGGGATTAACAGAACTGCATGACATTGAGAGTAACCCGATTATTGTAAACTTTTCGTAAGAAATAGTAGATTCATGTCAAATTTAAATTTTTGAAACACAAGATATATCGCCGTCGTTCATATCAAGAGTACTGTACTTCGACGTGATGCACTAGATTTTTAAATAATGTTTAGCATACGGGGATTAACAGAACTTCATGACATTGAGAGTAACCCGATTATTGTAAACTTTTCGTAAGAAATAGTAGATTCATGTCAAATTTTAATTTCTTAAGCACGAGATATATAGATATCATCCATACCAAGAATACGGTACTTCAACGTGATGCACTAAATTTTTAAATAATGTTTAGCATACGGGGATTAACAGAACTGCATGGCATTGAGAGTAACCCGATTATTATAAACTTTTCGTAAGAAATAATAGATTCATGTCAAATTTTAATTTCTTAAGCACGAGATATATAGATATCATCCATACCAAGAATACGGTACTTCAACGTGATGCACTAGATTTTTAAATAATGTTTAGCATACGGGGATTAACAGAACTGCGTGATATCGAGAGAAATCCGATTAGTCCGTAGCCGTTTACAAGAGAGACATTTTAGTTGAACGAACGGCGACATGCTCTTCGCACGGCCAGCCGAGCATAAGTACACAGAATCTGTTCAAAGAAGCCAGAAAGTGTATACGTACGTTACGTCACATACGTGCAAACGAACTGGACGCGTAGCCGTTCGATCAACTCAAGTTTCTACCTTTTAAACCGCCTCCCTAACGGGATTCCATCAGATGGCGTGCAGCAAATCTATCCACTCCGAAACTAAATTTGAAAACACTAACCCAGCAAACGAAATCAGTCATGAAAGACCTCAACCACGCCAACTGCCCGCAAAAAAAGTTCATTCATTGCGCAAAATAGTTTGATCGACAGTATTTAATTCATTCCACAAAATGTTGCAGCTAAGCCGAATTCACTGAGCCGAGCTCTTTTGCCTCAATCAATTGAAAGATATTAGACCCTTTTGTTAATTTTAGAAAATATTTCACTTAAAAGAACAGATATTCTTATTAAATGCCCCAACCAAACACTTGAATGTTTACAGTAATCATACTCTATGGTTAAACCAACAAAACCATTCGAAATTCAACGGAACATATCTCAGCCTACGTGCCCCGACTAGATTGCAAAATTGAACGAGCATTAATAATTTCTAAAATGTCTGCTCGTTCAACACTTAAGGTGAAGTGAAACCCCCCTCAAATCAGTCGATTCGAATACAACACTTTTTTTTAAGGGCATTAGACCGAACTGTCCGAAACTTTGACACGTCACTCCTGATCATCTAAGAATTGTCCTGACACATACAAAATTTGGATTTAAAAAAAAAATTGTGTAATTCAGCCCAGACCAGAACCAAAATGGCATCGAACTCTCATATTTCCATCAATATACAATTATCGAAGGCTTTGATATGAGAATCGAAAGGGTCAGGACAATTTTACGACAATTTAGAATACTTTGGTAATCAAGAAACCCGCATTTGCACGGGATAAAGGTAAAAGAAATTGTTTTATGCGGTTCTATATTAAAACGATGGTAATACGAGGTCTCGGAGTGAAAATTTAGTTGACCCGGAAATCATAGATGGAGCATGGTGTCCTCTGCAGTCAATTAGAGCCCCAGAAAGCATGAATCCACAGGATTTCTGGATTTTTACTTCGATATCTTTCTAATTATTGTACGAAAACGACAGGTGGAGTGTGCCATTTGGTACAATACCCAATATAATTCGACAGAGCTGTCGATATAAAAATGAACGTCGGCAACGTAGGCATTTAGAAAAATCTTTTGTTATCGACGTCGATCTAGTTCCTCGACGTGTTTCACTTCACCTTAACGGGGATATGAAATTCCTTGCCTAGGGGAAGAAATTAATAAAACCTCGATTGCCGGAGATTTGAAGCTAACGGGACAACAATAGAGTCACCAAACACCTGTAGACGCATTTTCTCTGAAATCGGGATCTCGCGGCAGGAGAGACCAAGGACCTTTTCCTCCACAAAGGATCGCTTGTCGAGGAAGAGAGCTTAGAGGGACCCGGAAGAGGTTCGCTCCTCGGATCGACTTCGCCGCGGCTTCTCGCCTTCTTTACACGTTCTGCCGCTTCCCACTTAACCCACATTTCGCCCTGCGTTCCATTTTCTCCGCCTAGTCTATTCCGCGTGATATACCCACGGTACGTGTAAATATGCAAGAACCTTTTCTTGCATCTCCGGAGCGAGGCCCCTTCGCGCTTCTATGTGGGATGCGCGTTTCCGTATGCACCGGAGCCAGGGCGTCAGTGCGTAAGTGCGTCAGTACGTCGCCAACTCGAGAGTGAGCGTGTGTGGTGTGTCTTAACTATGCGCATCGCGAGGGCCACGAGGACTCGACACTTGCTCCAAGCCCCTCTTACGAGCATCTAGGTATCTAGGTATTTTTTTTAGTATTTATATTAGGTATTATACTAGGTATTTATATTAACCCATTTGCATCATTAGTGTATATATACGCTCAGTTTTCCTGGTCACTATCGCCGGAGCGTATATATACGCTCAATTTTACTGGTCACTATCATTCAACCTGAAATTTGGTGATAAGGACCCTCTTCCTCATACTTCGTTATGATGCAAATGGGTTAAGGAGACTCATACCCATTGAGGGTATTAAAAATACCCATTTTTCAAACGAATACAGGAAAGAAGATGAAAGAACATTTAAACACGAGTTAAGTTATTTACTACAGCTATAGATACATATTGGTATGATTATTCGTAATTTAAATAAAAAATAGTGTTTCCATTATGACCCACATAGAAATATATGTGTTAAATGTATGTCAAAATATA